GTGAGGATGCCCCGAGCTGAGGTGGGCAGAGGGGGCCATCGAGGTGTGGCCACTGTTCGAAGTGACGATGCCTCGAGTCGAGGAGGTGAGATCTCTAGCTTGGAGGGGTGTGCGCCCGTCAAGAGGCAGGTAGAGGGGGCTGGCGAGGTGTGGCCGCTGTCCGAAATGACGATGCCCCGAGCCAAGGTGGTCAGAGGGGGCCACTGAGGTGTGGTCGCCGTCCGAAGTGATGATGCCCTGAGCCGAGGGGGTGAGATCTCTATTGAGGAGGGGTGCCGAGGTGTGGCCGCCATCCGAAATGATGATGTGCCAAGCCGAGGCGGGAAGAGGGGGCTGCTGAGGTGTGGCCGCCGTCCGAAGTGACGATGCCCTGAGCCGAGGGGGTGAGATCTCTAGCGAGGAGGGGTGTGCGTCAAGTGTCATTGTTCCCTTCAGCATGTTTGTTCTGCCATGATTTGTGCTAAGCGGAGGGTCGATGCCAGCTCTTTAGCCCGAATAAGTACTTGCTCACTAGGAGGGTCTTCCAAGGATGAGGCTAGTATCAAGGGCCGCCCCGTTAATTACAGCCAAGGTCCCTTAGATCCCTTGCAAAAAAAGGGCGAGCAGGTGTGTGACCTCTAGAGGGTCATATGCCTTGGGTTGATGTCCAATCCCGGTGTATAACCTAGGCTCTTTAGCCTGGATAAGTACTAGCTCAGTGGTAGGGTCTTCCAAGGATGAGGCCAATATCAAGGGCCGGCCCCTTAATTGCGACCAAGGTCTCTTAGATCCCTTGCAAAAAAAGGGCGAGCAGGTGTGTGACCTCTAGACGGTCATATGCCTTGGGTCGACGTCCAATCCAGGTGTATAACCCAGGTTAAGGTTGTGTGCCGCGGCTAGTCGTTCAACCAAAGGCTGTATGCTTGGTGAAGGTTGTGCCTTGGACTAATGTCCAGTCCAAGCGTGTAACCTTGGTGAAGGTTGTATGCTATGGCCGGTGGCTTGATCAATGCAAGAACGCATACACTAAGGGTTTGAGGTGAGGTGAGAGAATCTTGCTTTAATACAAATTATGGGTACTTCTGTTGTTTTTAGCCATTTCATTGGAAGCTTAGCCGTGGATTAGGGGAACTCTTAGCAGTCGTTCCCACAGACGACACCGATTGTTGATGCTCAGAATGGGCTAAGGACAACTCTGTAGCTTCGCTTCTCGGACGAGCTGATAGATGGAAGAGTTTGAGGGCTACTGAGGCTGATGACCAGTGGAGCCCGAGGTCTATTGTGGCCAAGGACGTGTGGAGTTGGAGGGCTAGTGAGGCCGAGGACTAGTGGAGTCCGAGGTCTACTGTGGCTGAGGACTTGTTGAGTTCGGGAACTGTTGAGGCCGAGGACTAGTGGAGTCCAAGGTCTGCTGTCGTCGAGAACTTGTGGAGTCCATCCTATACGGAAGGGAACGTCAGAGGCCCTGGGTCGATGCCTGAGGCAGGGACTCCGATGGTCAAGTTAGTAGGAGTGTGGCAAAAATGGTGGGACGAGGCCTGAGTATAGTAGCTTAGATGGGGTTGCTAGGAAGCTAGAGAACTTGGGGTAGTGGGTTTCCAACCTAGATTCCAAATGATTACCTTGAGGGGGGTTAACTACTATTTATACTTGAAATCGCCTAGAGGTAGACGGGCGCAGACGGTCGGGATGCGATCTGGCCCTAGGAGCGTGGCCATCCGAGGTCGCCGCATGTGGTCATGCCATTGTTTCCGCACTGCACACCGCCCTCAACCACGTCCGCGTGTTGCCGTGCTACTTGCCTGCCTAAAGCACCTACATCAGTAGGAAAACCTATACAAGGTTCTTAATTGTATTTTGATTGAACCCTATATTTTCGTGAGTTGCTAGGATCTTGCTCTTTTGATGTAGCAAGAAAAATAGTATTGAACACGGGAGATTGTTTTTTGTTTGGTTCATTTTGAAAATTTGAAAAGAAATAAAGGGCAAAAAAGTGAGAAGGCATGTTATAGTCCTCTTGAAAAAACGAGGTTATATGTTTAAGTCTTTTACCCTTGAAAGAATTACATGACAAGTGTATATAAATTATTCCTTTCCTTGTAGCAAAAACCATCAATAAATATCGTCATTCATTTCTTTACATGTTGTAGTTTCGAACGCTCCGGCGAAGCTGCGATTAGAAGCCAGAGGAAGCCTTAATTTGCAAATGACCTCTGGAGTAATTGGCCCGAACTTCAACGATCCCAATTTGCGCATAATCTTAAGTGGGAACTTAAGCTGCAATTCAAACACGCCTGCGCTCTTCTCCCGCCTGAAATCCTCAAGTTTGGAGCTATCACGCAGCGCCCATGATTGGCCCTGAAAGACTGGATTGAGCATGGAAGTGTTCTTCTTGCCCTGGTAGAAAGGATCCATGCTCACTCCACCGAGCTTTTTTCCACGGTAGTAAGCATCAACGGAGATCCTCTCGTAATAAACACTGTGTTTCTTGTCTGGGTTTCTGAAAGCCATGTTGAGAGCCAGATTGTAGCGAACAATATTATCGGTGGTGAGATTGAATTCAATTAGCGATGCATTAACCACTCGGTATTTGAGCTTTGCTGGGCCAAGTACTGCCATGACGATTGCTAAAGGATAAGCAGGATTGCTGCTGTTGCAAGAATGCCTATTAGAACCTTCCAAATCATCTTCATCCTAAACACCCGGAGAGGTAGAGAGAGATGGGATTGTAAATTGTAATGGTGAGTTTAGAGTTTAGACTTTAGAGGGAGCGAGAGGGGATAACTTATAGCCCTTAGCCCTTTTTTATGTATTGGACTAAGAATTTGTGAATGCCACCGGTGGGCGGTGGCCAATCTTGAAGCTACCATGAATCTTCAGTTGATCCTATAAAAAAATGGAAAGAAAAATGTGCTGAGAATTAATCGCGTGGGAGAAAACAAAAAATTAGGAATGCTAACACCTCGATAAGTCGAAAAAGTTTTATTTGGCTAGTTGCAGACCAAAGTTCAGCGTATAAAGGATTCGATTATAATATGAAAAAGATATGATATCCGAAAAATAACTGACCAATAAAGTAGAATCATAAACCTGATAGCAAATAAAGTTCGATCTTTGTGGAGTCCCCTCCCACCCTGAATGAGGCAGGGATGGGAATGATTTTCTCCTATTGGGATGGAAAAATTTTTGTGGGACAGGGAGTATTCCCTTGCTTATATATGTATGCAAGTATGTATGTATATTAATATTTTTAAAATGTGATTGAATATATTTAAATTTTTTTAATAAGATGGATAAATTTTATTTTAATTTTTTAAATGTAATAAAAAATAAAAATAAAATAATTAAAATCATAAAAAAATTACAGAGAGTAAGGATGGGGAGGAAGATAGGGTAGGAATTTTCTTGGAGACGGAGATGGGGAATGGCTCCCCATACCCGCCCTACCCCGTGCCATTCCTACTATAAAACGCTTGAGTAATAACTAATAACATCAGCTGTTTATAATTAATAGTTTTGCTAGTCGTGGGGCTAGCATTTCTTAAGAAAAATAAATTAAGATGCATTGTAGTAGGTGGGCCGTGGGCCTTCCGCCTACACGCTAACGCGCACGATGTAAAGTTTCAAATTCAAACTCTTGTGTTTTATTGTTGGGTCAAGGTATTTAGACGTTGACAAAGAAGTCAAGGCATTACTGCATTAGCATGAGTCCGCGTTCTGTGGGTGCACAGGACGCAAAAATGCAACACGTCGGCTAGCTGAAGAAACCGAGCTCGCATTCTGTGCACCGACCGAGTGCACCCGCGAATGAGAGACGAATATGTGTTAATTACAAATTAACGGAAGTTTTATCCGTTATTAATAATTTGACTGGTTGAACCGACTACTGTTTATTCTCTCCTCCACCGAATGCACTTAGCAACGACGAGACGAGCGGAAATCGTTGGGCTTGCCATTGTTGAAAGCTTGCCTCTACGAGAGTCCATGAGGGCTTTATCCTCCGATGGCCTGGGACTCGAAGCACTCCCCCACCTCCTAAAAGAAAAAGCAAAATTGCAGAAAAAGAAGAAAAGCAGGGAGCGAGTGAAAACCAAGGGCATCATCAACATAAACAGATCCCGCCGTTCATCTCACTAAGCCGATCCAGAGAGAGAGACAGCGATGGTGGTCTCCGTCTCAGTTTTGGCCATCGTCACGTCCCTCTATCTCGTCGCCTTTGTACTCGCTGTAGGCGCCGGATGTTGTCGGAGCACAGTAACAATCTAGTCTTCTTCACAGGGGCTTCGAACGTCCCTCCATTTGGATGGAACGTTTTAGGGGCCGAACGTCCCTCCATCTCTTCTTCACGTCGTCGGGCTACAACAAGAAGGACCAAAAACACGTCCCATCCAAATGCTAGACATTATAAAGAAGAATTCAATGAAGAGGGTGCCGAATGGGAGGGTTCCAGCTTCTAGGACTAATAGCCAAGATGGGTAATTCTGAGATTGAATTTCCCGAGGGATCTGATTGGTTTGAACTGGACACTCAATGTGAGGTGCTTTGGCCCCAAAATACCCACTCAGTCACCCACAAGAGTAAGGGGTACTCAGATGCAGAACCAGAGCAGAATGAGAATAACGAACAAAGAAATTGGAATGAGCCCTGTGCTGTAGGTACCCCACAAAAGGAAATTGAGAGTGGTTAGTATCAGGAAAGCAATACCAGGGAAGAAGCAGGAAACACGCCATGAAACAGAAACCCAGAACATAAGACACTTGTGGGATGTGAGATTGATAGGTTTGACAACTGAACTATAAGTCTCTTTATAATTGATCCCTTCACCATAGGCATACCCTTTCTCTACAAGATGTGCTTTGTAGCGTTTAACGGTGCTATCTGGGTTGTGTGCATTAAATTCTTCATCCATGGCATTATGGCAATGATCATGTTTCACTGCCTAAGAGAAACAATTGACGAGATGCAGCCAAACTAATTAAGTAGAATATGGGGCTTACGAATTCCATGCTTTGATTTAATCTCCATGGGGTGAACATTAGTAATGCCATTGGATATATCCTCATTTGGAGGAGAATAAGGAGATGGTGCTGCAATGGTGGCATGAGAGGAAGGCATGCTAGAATCTGCCATATCAATGGGTAGAGCAGAGGGGAAAATTGAAGGAGGGATGAGAGAGAATAAGGAGGAATTGATAGAATTAGTTCTTTGAGATGAACATGTAGCATGGGCAAATGGAAAAGCTAACTCATTAAACATAACATGATGAGATATGAAAGTTTTCCTAGTGGTAATGTCAAGGCATTAAAATACTTTGTAATTGGGTGGATAACCCACAAAGACAAGAACAATGGTAGTATGACGAACAAATAATGAGGTATCGGCAGCACACATATTGAAGCCAAGACGAAGAATAAATGAGCTGAGTCGATGATACCATGCACGGGGAGCCTGTTTGAGGCCATACAATGCTTTTTGAAACTTGAAAACATGATGGGGATGAGCTGGATCTATGAAGATAGGAGGTTGAGCCATGTATATAGTTTCTTGAAGATCACCATTTAGGAAAGTAGTAATAACATCAAGCTGTCCAACACTGCCATTAGGATTATGTTTGATATGAAATATCCATTTACAGCCAATGATGTTTGCATTGGAAGGTGGAAAACAGAGGGTCCAAGTGTTGTTAGTAGTGAGGGCAGCCATTTCTTCTTGCATCGCAGTCTGCTAATGAGGATGATGCAGGGCTTGGGTTATGGTTTTGGGTTCAATGGAGGTAGGGGCAGAGAGTAAGAGGAGGCAAGGAATAAGCGGGGTTTAAGTATCCCATCACGTGATCTAGTGATCATGGCATGGGTACGATGAAGTAGGGGGAGCTTACGGGAAGAGGAATATCAGTAGGGTGGCTGGGTTCAAGTGGATTGGGAGATGGAGGTGGCTGGTGAGGTGTTACAGTTGTGGAAGGGAGGAAGCGAGCATCATGAAGAATATCAGATAAAGGACGAGTTCATTGTGGAGGTGAAGATGTGAAATGGGGCAAAGACTGTGAAGATGATGAGATCGGTGCTGGTGTGGATAATAGCTGAGAGGGTATATGGGGAGATGAAGGGAAGTGACAATGGTGGTGGGGGAGGTTGTGATAGTGGCAAGGGAGCTGAAATGATGGAAGGTGGTCCAATGGGCATTGATGGTAGAGTAGAGGGCTGAGGTGGCAGATTTTGTGGGGATGAACAATAATGAAAATTGAGTTCATTGAATACCACATAGTGGGAGATGTAAACCTTACTAGAAGGTATATGTAGGCATCTAAATCCCTTGGATTTGTCACAATACCTGATGAATACACATGAGAGGCTACGATAATTAAGTTTGTGAACATTATAGGGCCTTATATATAAGGAAAGCACTCATAGCCAAACGCACGAAGTGTTATATAGTCAGGCTTCTTGTGAAAGAGATATTCTCATGGTGTTTTATGATTCAATACCTTGGTGGGCAACCGATTGATGAGGAAAACAACAGTGTGGAATGCATCATACCACAGAGAAGGAGGCATAGAGGCTCTGGCCATGAGTGTGAGCCCAAATTCAATTATATGCCAATGTTTATGCTATGCTGAACCATTTTGTTGAGGCATGTGCGGACAAGAGGTTTTGTGAATAATACCATGTCATTCAAAGAAATGCTTAAGTGGCTTCTTGTGAAAGAGATATTCTCATGGCATTTTATGATTCAATACCTTGGTGGGCAGCCAATTGATGAGGAAAACAGTAGTGTGAAATGCATCATACCATAGAGGAGGCATAGATGCTCTGGCCATGAGTGTGAGCCCAAATTCAACTATATGCCAGTGTTTACGCTATGCTAACCCATTTTGTTGAGGCGTGTGCGGATAAGAGGCTCTGTGAATAATACCATGTCATTCAAAGAAAGGCTTAAGTGGCTTGTACTCAGTACGCCTATCAGTTTGTAGGATTTTGATTTTTTCTTTTCAACATATTTTCAACTTGATTTTTAAATATTATAAATGTAGAAGCAACATCATTCTTATGAGCAAAAGGAAAAATCCAATTGAATTTACTAAAGGTATCGACAAAACTGATATAGTAATTGAAACCATGTCGAGACATCACAGGGGCTGGTCCCCATAGATCAAAGTATAGGAATTCCAATGGTTCTACTGCCTTGAAAGTGCTAGGGAGAAAAGGTAAACAGTAACTCTTGCCTAACTAACATGCTGAACAGAATGATAAATCTTTATTGGAAGCCACAAGAAGCTTATTCTCAGATACGACTTGCTTTACTGTTCTGATTGCCAGATGCCCTAAATGTCGATACAAAGTATTCAGTTCTACTCTTTCACTGAAATGTGCAACATGACTGATATTGTCTTTTGGGAGATGAAGTTTGTAAAGTCCATGGTCAGTGGTTCCTTCCAATAGAGTTTTCCTTGATTTCCGATCCTTCACATAGCAATTAGAGGGATGAAATTCAAAGAAAACATCATTATCAGTGGGGAACCGTGCAACATATAAGAGGTTCTTAGTGATATCCGGAACATGAAGAGTATCTTTGAGAACTAGATTCCTATTAGAATTTGGAATAGATGAAGTACCAATATGATTAATTTTCAAACCTGTGCCATTGCCAATTTTTAGTTGATCTAGACCCATGTACTCTGAGTGAAGTTTAAGATTGTGCAGGTCATTGGTGATGATGGATGATGATTTGGCCCGACCTCGTAGCTCGGATACACGTGGGCGTGACCTTGCTCAAACAGTGACTCAACATGACAGCGCAACGGGCGTGAGCACAACTCGGAGGGAAAGTCCCGCCGAGTTCAGCACGACAACTCGACAA